AGAGAGAGAGAGAGAGAGAAGAGACAGGAGAGGAGAGGAGAGGGGAGAGAGGAGAGAGGAGAGAGAGAGAGAGAGAGACAGGCCGAGAGGAGAGGAGAGACATGGTAAATACAATGTAAAAAATAAAAACAAAAAAATTTCATAATAAATAATAGCACTTTTGAAATACAGTAAATATGCAGGGTTAGGTTATTTGACAGTTCGAGTACCTTAAATAGGCTTTAATATGTGGAGTGGAGTTTCTTTTTCTTTTTTCTTTTCCTCTTGATCACTTTAAAATTTATAATTAAATATAGACGATCTAGGCTAGCACAAGACTGTTATTTCTTGAAATATTTTTTTTCCTAGTCAGAAGCAAAATAGTTAAGAAAAAACAGGGGCCAAGGATGTATCTTAGTGGTAGGAAATTTGCATCATGTGTACAAGACATGTAGGTCTGGATCCCGATCTTCATCGCCAACACTGCAGAAGAAATAAGAAAAAAAATTAACGCCAAACTTGTCTCCATCCTCAGCTCTTCCTCAGTGATGATGGGATAGTTTTTGTGTCTGCAATTATAATTTTTAATCTATGCATAGTATTTCTGAGCTCAATCTGGAAACTATCATGAAATTCTAACTGAATTTTACTGTCCTTTGACTTTTTCTTTTAAAAATCGAACTGGAACAAAGTATTGTGGTAAATATGAAAATATCCTGATAAAACCTATCACTTTGTATGTTACTTAAAAAAAAAAACTTCAGAGACAAAAGTGGGACTTGGGGGTTAGTAATGGGGAAGGGAATCTGAGCAACATCCCTTTCTCATGTGGTCCAGAAGCCGCTGGGGATTCTGAAGCATCCCTTTGCCGTGTCTGTTTCTGCAGACATGCTGTTGGGTCTGTTAGGATAAGCACACATCAGTGCTCACTGCACTCTTCTCTCCAAAATCATACCGAGCTCTGGTTTATTAAAAATTCAAATCATTTGTGCCAGGCAGGGTGACATAGACTTGTAATCCCAGCACCAGGGAGGGTGAGGCAGGAGGATTGCCCTTGGGGCCAGCTCAGGCTATATAAAGAGACTGCTTCAAACAACAAAAACCCAAATGAACATGTTTAATACACACTACAGACAGGACTGTTCTATAAAAAAAAAGAAAAAACTTACGTAATAAGAATGTTTATGTGGCAATATGGTCCAATTTTTATGTAAATAACCCTTCTTAATCCTCATAAGAACTTGAATAATTTCTGTTATCCATGAGCTTTTTGTGGGAGACAGAGGGGTAGGCACTGAACCTGGAACTTACGCCTAGCCTCAGTTTAGCCTATAGCACATGGCTGAGTAAGGATGAAAGCAAATGAATCTTAAATACCTTAATGCAGAATATTGAAAATGTTGTTTTTAAAAGTTCTTTTAACTTTAGAATAGCTTCCTGTATTTAAAAAGACTTATGAATTTGGGATGAGTTGCAACCTCTCTAGAATTGTGCTTTTGCTATTATTTATAGTTAAATCAGTTTAATTCTGCCATCAATTTATTTTATCACTGAAATTCTCACTTAATTGAACAATGTGTCCATTACCGGACATTGAAAATACAAAGTTCTGAAATTACAAAGCAAATCTAAATGGAAACTGACAGTCCTTGGTTTGATCCAAACTACGATTTTGAAGATTTTAGGATCAGACAGAACTTTCTCTTTGCACCGTCTAGCCTTGTTTTGTTGAGTTTGATAGTGCATAGGACATCATGGGAAGACCTTGGGGTTTATGGACGAGGTGATGCTTGCATTCTGTCCTCGTGCGATGGAGAGGTGGGGTTGGGACATGCGGTAACACTTGTCTGTTTCACACTAGTGCAATGGAGAGAGGGCCAAGGAAGAAGCGCTGGCCCATTTTGAAAAGCTCTTTGAGATCCTAGAGGACAGGAAGTCATCTGTTCTGAAAGCCATCGATGCCTCTAAGAAACTAAGGCTAGACAAATTTCACACGCAAGTGGAAGAGTACCAAGGCCTTCTGGAGAACAACGGGCTTGTTGGATACGCGCAGGAAGTGCTGAAGGAGACAGATCAGTCTTGCTTCGTGCAGACGGCAAAGCAGCTCCATCTCAGGTACTCGCTGGGCTCCCCGGCCTTTGAAAGCGCCCCCCCCCCCAGGTAGTTCCTGGTGTTCTGGGCCTGCTTCATCCTGAGTGCTGAAGGCCATGTCCATGGCTTTGGTATGCCACACTGCAGGTGTTTAGACTGACTTGTCCTTTTAAAGAATGGCTTTGATATGAAATGTGTCTGCCCACAGAATACAGAAAGCTACGGAATCTCTGAAGAGCTTTAGACCCGCAGCCCAGGCTTCTTTCGAAGACTATGTGGTTAACACATCCAAACAGACAGAGGTGCTCGGAGAACTGTCCTTTTTCTCTAGTGGTAAGTGAAGGCCATGCCCCCTCCCTGACCTGCCTGCATGCCACAGAAACACACCCCTTCCCCTTTGACATAAGATGCTCATGATCATCTATCCTGGAACCTTAAGACTGGTTTTTATGCCTGTCTTTCTGGGCATTAAACTGTACCCCTGACTTTTTAAACATTGTGTGTATGGCATCACATTTTTTTTTAAATTATAAGCTTAATGCTATTTTTTAGTGCATGAAATCTGGCTTAAGGTATATTCTATATTCCCAGCCAATTTGAATTAGGACTCGCTGTGAGGATCTCAGCTTAATCTGATAACCTTCTGAAGACCGAGTCTGTAAATACAGTCATCTTCTGAGGACTGACTGCTGTCACAATCAGGGTTATGACTTCAGCACATAAACTTTTAGGGAACACCCTCATGGGGGCTTCCCTCTGTTCTTACATCTCACCACATTTGCCTTGCCGAAGTTTCTCTTTTCGTGAAGTTGAGGCAGCAGAGGCTTGGTCTGGAGAGATGCTCAGGAGTCAAGAGCAGGGGCTTCTCTTGCTGTGGACCTGAGTTTGACTGCCCGCGCCTCTATCGGGTGGCTTACAACTGCTGGTCAGTTGCACCAGCTCCAGGAGGTCTGACACCTCCTGGCCTCCGAGGGCACCTGCACACATACCTGGCCCCCAAACATAAGACCTTTAAAACCTATAAAAAAAATAAGATCTTTTTTGAAAAAGGAAATCTGTCTTCTTAAAAGTTAAAAACTGGGTTTCTGTGGCATCTTTTCTTTTTAAATTTATATCCGAATCTGGTATGACTTATTATGACTTTAAATTTTCCAAGTAGGTGTTAGGTGTTATTTCAAATGCGGACTTTTCTTCCTAGACTGTTGATCCTGCATACATCAGTTGCTTTTTAGATATGTTAGCTTACTTTGGAGTCTTAAGCATGGATCCAAACATTGTCCTTGGAAGGGTAAGACATCATGGGCTGTGCTCAGTACACAGCAAAGGACCAAGAAAATGAATGGTAGGTGGAGGAGAGAGGAAGCTCCCATTTCCTGCCTGTGGATGTATTTCACTTTTCCTCCATGCTCACTCTTAGAACATGTGACTGACATACTCTGTGACTGGTCCTGTTGAACGTTGTAACTTTAAAGTAAACTTTGGATGTGTTTTCAGATCATATCGTGGCTGTATAATCTCCAGGGGTGTTAATGCACTGTCAGACTTCCTTCTGTGCCGATGACAGGCTGTGGATAAGTGAAGAGAAGCAGGCACCTCCCTTAGTTCATTTCCTCCTCTGTGGTTTGATGTCAGTGGGGTGTGTGTGGGAGTGTATGTTTGTGGATATGTAATTTATACAAGCTGAACAGAAAGTTAGTATGTAGCGGAGGATGACCTTGAATTTACTCTCCTGGGATTATAGGCATGTGCTGTCATGCCCAGCATACATGTGGCTTTGAGACCTTACTGCATGCGAGGTTTACAAGTTTAGTGTAGAGGAAAGGATACGTGTGTGCACATGGACTTAGTTGCGACATTGGCCTGCTTTTTGTGTTTTTGAGAAGCTATAGCCTGCAACTCATTATGTAGCCCAGGCTGGCCTTGTATTTACAGTCATCCTCCTGCTTACAACTGTGAGCTACCATGGCTGGCTTTAAACATTGTACTTTTAGCAAAATATTAGAAACCTATTTCTTCCAAATACATAAATCTTGATTGATCCATACAGTGAAACATTACAGAAAAATATTGATGGGATCTAAATGAAATCAGTGCAGTGGTTACCTTGAAATTGTCTAAATATTTTTGTGGGTTTTCCCTACTTCAGTTTCTGGTTTTCTTATTGTTTTGGTGTGTGTGTTGTACATGTGTATATGTGCGTGCGTGCGTGCGTGCGTGCGTGTGTGTGTGTGTGTGTGTGTGTGTGTGTGTGTGTGTGTAGACCAGAGGCCAGAGGTTAGTACCATGTGCCTTCCTGGATTATCTGTCTTATTCTTTTGAGGCAGGGTCCCTCACTTGACCTGGAGCTCACTGACATGGCTAGACTAGCTGGCCAGTGAGCTTGAGAGATCTGTGTCTGCCTCCCTGGGGCCTGTGTTAGGGGCCACTGCAGCCAGCCTTTCCATGGGTGCTGGAGACACGAACTCGGGGACTCGGGCTTGGGTAGCAAGCACGTCATCAGCTGAGCCACCCCGCCAGCTGATTTATACTTCACACCTGTACTAAGAAAAAGTATTTGGCTTTGCAAGTCTACATTAGAAAATATTGAAGCAAATGCTCAATAGAATTACTTAATCTTTTAAGTATTGAAATGGTTTATGTAAATATAAATAAAAATTTCAACTTCAGAGTCACAACTCACTATGAGGAAAGTCTATGTTTTTTTTCTAAGAAATTCTTTTTATTATTTTTTAAAATTTTTTTATTTTTTGGTTTTTTGAGACAGGATATTTCTGTGTAGTTTTGGTGCCTGTCGTGGATCTCGCTCTGTAGACCAGGCTGGCCTTGAACTCACAGAGATCCACTTGGCTCTGCCTCCTGAGTACTGGGATTAAAGGCATACGCCACCGCTGCTCAGCGAAAGTCTATGTTTTTAAAAATAGAATTTCCAGTATTTTAGAATTAATAATGATACCACTTAATGCTGAAATCATGGCTTAATTTTTGTATTATTTTTCACTTACTTTTCCCACTTCAATTATAATTACAAATTTACATTATTTTATATTTACTATCTTTCTTATGCATAGTATTATAAATTTAGGAATTTCTTGGATACCACAGAAACTGTCAGTACTTCATTTTTGCTGAGGGAAATTCTATCTTAACGTCGTGTTCTGTGTCTTGCTTCTGTCAGGCATAGACATTCCTGAGATCAACGAGGAACAGAGTAAAGTGTATAATAACGCCCTGATAAACTGGCACCAGCCAGAAAAGGACAAGGCCGACAGCTATGTTCTTGAATACCGGAAGATGAATAGAGATGAAGAAATGATGCCGTGGAATGAGATAGAGGTGCACGGCACAAGTAAAGTTGTCTCCAACCTGGAAAGCAACAGTCATTATGCTTTCCGAGTGAGAGCTTACCGAGGCTCCATCTGCAGCCCCTGCAGCAGAGAGCTGGTCCTGCACACGCCTCCAGCTCCAGGTACGGGGAACAGTGCGGTCGGTCGGAGAGGCAGAGTGGGAGAGGTCTGGAATGTGAACGGGCAGTGTCTTCATGCAGTCAGACTGACATTGGAACCAGCTTTGTGCTTTTAAAAGACTCTGGACAAGTAGATTTCATACTTGGCTGAGATTTAGAAGTGACCTGAATCCCCTGTATTAGATTTTGACTGATATCAGACAAAAAAAAAAAAAAAAAAAAAAAAAAAAAGAAAGAAAAAAAGAAAAAAAAAGGCTTTTTAATGCTTGGGGCTAACTTAGTATAAAAATGACATGAATGCTACATTAAACAATTAAAATTGCATAACTGCATGTGCTTAGTGGACCATGCCTTTAATTTCAGCACTTAGGAGTCAGGGGCAAGCAGATCTCTGAATCTGAGGCCAGCCTGGTCTGCATAGTGAGTACTTGGCCAGCCAAGGGCAAAATCATAAGCTCCTGTCTCAAAGCAAAAAAAACTCCAAACGTAAAACAATAGCATGGTTCTGGGACTTTTTAAAAGGTCAATTGATGACAATGTCCAAAATTCAGGTTATTGATAGTTATTTTTAAAATTCAGTGGTGTGATTTAATCTAGGTCTCACTTGCCCTCAGTTTTCTGTCCCTGTGTGATTCTCTGCACTCGGGGGTGGGAGGCATATATTGGGACCACGCAGCAAGCTTTCCCTTCACACAGAGAGCTTCCCAGTCCCTGCTACTCTGCCTCTGAAGAGCTTTACTGGATAGGAAGGACATGCAGAGTAGTTGGTGTCTACTACAGTGTCTTCATAGATGAGGGACACTTAGAACTCCAGTTGTTACACTCTGTCATCGTAGTGGGAAAGCATTTCGCCCTGCCCACCACTGCCTTGGATGTACTTAGTAGTTTTTTAGACTACAGACTCTACCCCTGTTTAGTGTCTTATGTATCCATATTTTCTGAATTCTGTCTTTACTCTCCCATCTTGTCCAGTGTAAAGAAGCAGTGTGTGTGTGTGTGCGCGCGCGCGCGCGCATGCGCGCGCACGCTTTCCAGGTATATTTAAAAAAATATTAGAATATAAAAATATATAGGGTTGGCTGAAATGATTTTTCTTGAGTTTTGCTGAAGCCAATAGATAAGTTGAACATGCAAGTATTCCGTACACATTTAACACTGAATGCTGTCTTTAACTTCTGGCCTCTGAAAGTAGAAGGATGAATCTGGACATGGCTGCTGTTTTTAATAGCAGCTGTATAGGAGTGGGAGAGGGCTTGCTAAGACTTTATCTTCCTCTCCAAGAGAGACCATATAAATACTGGGGCTGTTGAGATGACTGTACAAAGTAGGAGATACTGGAGATGGAAAAGAATCTTGAACAACTATGCTACGATATTACCCACCGCCAAACAGAAAGATCTGCCTCCATATGGGGTCTGGGGTTAGCTTGCTGGGAGCCCCCCTTTTTTAATGTCATAGAATACAGATAAGATTTACCATTGTAAGCACACAGTTTAATGATAGAAAGTACATTCATAGTATTATGCAGCTATCATCATTCACATCTCCAGAAAAAAAATTTAAACCTCACCTGAAAATCTGTACCCATTAAACACCTCTTCCCCGCCTCCCCATAGACACTGGAAGCCTCTATTCTTTTTTTTTTTTTTTTAGGTTTGACTATCTGGGTACCGCAGAAGAGCAGAACTGGGCAGTATTTGTCTTTTTGCATCTGGTTTATTTTTTGTTGTTCACATTGTAGTGTGTTCCAGGATTTCCTTTTTCGGGGCTTGCTAACACTCCACTGTACATCTTTCACATTTTCTTTACCCATTATTTTGTTGATTAAATTTTTGTTGTGTCAGCATTGGCTACCAATAAAGGTTATGCATACAATAGTTGTGTTAGCTCTATTCTGTAAATGAGGAAGTTTAGAGTTTAGATCAGTCTTTTGTTAAATGTTTGAGCTGAATGCAAACCTCTCTGAACTGAAAGCCCATGATTCTCTTCTTAGATAGTAGCACCTTTCTCATATTTGCTGTGTTGATTGATAAGGGAAAGATCTCAAATTCTCAAATTTATAAAATTTGGAATATGTATAAACATATACCACCTCTTAGATTAAGCTCCTAGGGAGCTTAAATTGACTTCCATGGGCACCTGCACTCATGTGCACATAACCCCCCCAATAATTAAAAATAATAAAATGAATATTTTTAAAGATGACTGATTAAGTATGTTCTATGTATAGTAATTAACATGGCTGATTCCAAGGTATGCACTCAGAAGTGTTTGCAAATATCTAGAACATTTGCTTCTGCTTTGGATGTTTGTGAAGCTCTTCACGTACAGGGAATATACTGGAACTTTTCTGCTGCATTGGAATCTGGATTGATGCAGCTATCTGGCAGAGAATGGCATCATCTTTGCATATCTTCAGTAATTAATTTCTATTTGAAAGCCATCAGATTCAGCCTTAAGGATTACAGAAATGCTTGTAGATGTTGCTCAGATTACTTAAGAATAATTTTAACCTCCATTCAGTTTTCAGTTTCCTGTTTGATGAAAAGTGTGGCTATAATAACGAGCACCTGTTGCTAAACCTGAAGCGAGACCGGGTGGAGAGTAGGGCTGGATTTAATGTCCTTCTGGCTGCGGAACGCATCCAAGTGGGCTATTACACAAGCCTCGACTACATCATCGGAGATGTTGGAATAACCAAAGGGAAACACTTCTGGGCCTGCCGTGTGGAACCATATTCATACCTGGTCAAAGTGGGCGTTGCCTCCAGCGACAAACTGCAGGAGTGGCTGAGGTCTCCCCGGGATGCGGCTAGTCCAAGGTAGGTTCTTTCCTTGATGGAGAACTTGATAACGGCTTGAAAAGTAAATATCAGTGCTGCACAAGATCACCCTGAACCGTCTGGGACTCTTTCATTATGTTTGGAACATACATTTCTTAGATTCAGGTGATTGGCTCTGTCATGTGGCTGCTTTAGAAAAGGAGTCAGGCTGTCTTGTATTCATTCACAGAATAACATTTAATTTTTGCTGCCATGAGGGAATTAGTCTGTTCTGAATTCCTTTTGATTATGATTCAGCTTCAGAACTTAAAGTTTGAAAGTTTCCCGTAGTTCCTAAAGGGTATGTTAAATCTACCCATACAGAGAAATGCCTTTAACTACCTTTCACAGCACTAGAATTTTCTATAACTTTTCATGTTTCACAGAGGGAAAAACAATTTCATTACTCTTTCTTGATGTGGGAACACAGTCAGGAAATAGGGTTGTATGGAGGAGAATGACCATACTCTTATCTCGTGTTCTTTTGAAAGTTATTACTTTAGTCTATTAATTCCATGAATGAGGGCATAGGTCTTTGTATTTTATGACATAGCATTGTGTACCATAAATATTTAATCTTAAATTAAGCTCTTCACCCTCCTGATTTTTTTCAGTAGAAATGCATTTTAAGATTTCCAGTTGTGTATACATCTAGGTAAAAATGGATGGCACTATAGGGAATTTGGTACTAAGTAAATAGTACAACTCTAAATGGCAATTTGCAGTGCATGCTTTATGTGTGTTAATAGAACACTTTTGTGTAGGTTAACTTTAGAACAGGATGTGTTATTTTTGGAGAGTGTGTTGGAGATACTGGGAGACTGCGGCTAGAGCTAAGTAGGATTGTTTTGTTCACGGTGTTCTTTATGTTGTAGATATGAACAAGACAGCGGGCATGACAGTGGCAGTGAAGAGGCCTGTTTCGATTCTTCACAACCTTTTACATTAGTTACTGTAGGCATGAAGAAATTTTTTATACCCAAGTCACCTACTTCTTCTAACGAACCCGAAAATAGAGTTCTTCCCATGCCAACAAGTATAGGGATTTTCCTTGACTGTGATAAAGGCAAAGTCAGCTTCTATGATATGGATCACATGAAATGCCTGTACGAGCGCCAGGTGGACTGTTCACATACAATGTATCCAGCATTTGCCTTAATGGGCAGTGGAGGAATTCAGCTTGAAGAACCCATCACAGCCAAGTATCTGGAATATGAAGAGGACGTGTAGTTCGGACACCCCATGTGGCGAGAATGAAAACTGTGAACAAAGCCATGCCTTGGTGTTAGTCTTCGTAACTAATTACATATCGTTTACGTCTTCTGTCACCACACCTGTTTGTAGTGTGCGGTTGTTTTGTTTTATCTTGTTCTGTTTTGACACACAGGGTCTTGCTATGTAGCCCAGGCTGGCCTCAAACTTTGTCCTCCCGTGATAGGCTCCAGAGGGCTGAGAGTATATGTGGGCACCACCAGACCCAGCTAATGTTCGATTCTGAAAACTCAGAAGGCCTTCACAACCTTGTCTTGTCCATGTCATTATTATGCCTTTTACAAATGGTGGGAGTGAAAACATTTTGTCACAACTAGTCCCAGATAGCTAACTTTACAGCTTGTCCTTCTCTTTGGGCACAGGGACTCTAATTTATTTAAGTCAGCTGGTGTTACTGTGTACATTCCTTTTGTTTTGGGGTTGGGGTGGGATACAAAGTATTTATTGTGGTTTTTATGCTTGTTTTTTTCTTTCCTTTCCATTTTTATATCATGTTCATGTCCAAAGAGAAGATATTTTTAAATGCCTGTTGATATAAATTAGCCCTAAGTCATGTGTCTTGAATTTATTGTCAATAGGAAAATGATGTTATAGACAGGTAAAACGACAAAGGCCATAAAATGGTAGTATATTTAAGTAGAAAATTATGTATTTTAAAGTGTGTAACTACTGAGTGTATATTGCCTGGCAAATCAATACTGCTCTTTCTTCTTGTAGACCACAGACTGTATTTATTGATAAGGACATCTCTAAGAGTGGCCTGGGCTGTAATGCTCCTTCTTTGCATATGTAGCAAGCATGGTCTCTTATAAGAAACCCAAGGTTCTTGAACCCATGCAACTTTTCACTGCAATATACTTTTTTTTTCCAGAAAATTTTATCTTCAAATTTTCTTACTTCAGAAAATACTTGTATTTATAGCAAAGACTTATTTTTCAGAACTACTAGTGAGAATAGACTGATAGTGGCCGCCTGTCTTGTGAGGTTTGTGTTTTTGGCACAGATGTTACACATCAGGTTTCTCTGGCTTGTGTTTACAAATTTGAGAAGTTCACTGTCCGTCTTAACAGCATTAAAATACCAGACATATTACATGTTACTACTGTCTGGTTGGGTGGCATCGTCCGTGGCTCACTGCATGGTCATAAACAATTGTAGTGTGAATCAGTAAAATATAAAATTATTTAGAAATAGTGACTAAAAGGAAAAGGATTGTGTATACTCGGTTTGAAGAATGACACCTTTTTCTAAATTGGATGTTGGTTTCTGCAAGATTGTCTTCTAGGTACCAAAATCATCTTTTAAGCAGATGATTTTTATTTGAACTGCCTTTTTAAAAAGTTAAAATGTCTTTCTTGACACTAAGACTTACACTGATCACTTAAGGAATGTTAACATTTTAGTGGAGCAAACAAAATTTTTGGAAGCTGTTTATCTTATTTTTTAAAGATTACTTTTAATTGAAGTCTTGTAGGCCAGTCACACTGCGTCAGACCCACCACTGACACACACTCCCCACCCGTGTAGGTAGATCTAGAGAGCCTGTGTTTAGTGGCTGTCTTTCCTCCCCCATGTATCTAGCACTTTATAACATAGGAAACAAAGAGAATGGGCAGTGTTACCTGGATCATTGTGCAATAAAGCTGCTAGAGTCACGTGTTGTGGCTTGGTGTGATACTCAGTACTCATGTAAGCACATGTCCTGTAGACGTTTGAAAATGTAAAGCTTTAACAGGAATCAGAAAAGGAAGCTGTTTCAAACACTGTATCACTGTACAGAAATTGCTTGGTGGAATTTCATTTTTAATAAAAATAAATAAAAGGAAAGTCAAATTCTGCACTCCAGGAATTTTTACTGTGCTTTGTGGAAAACTGAAACAAACACTTGTTGAAAGATGCTTTGTGGCACATGTTAGTTTTTTTTTAATTTAAAAAAAGATTTATTTTTAATTACATGTATGTGACTGTGCATGTACGCATGAATATGAGCACCCATGGAGTCCAGAAATATCTGATGCCCTGGAGCTAGAGTTCTGGGTGGTTTGAGCCATCCAGCTTGAGTCTGGGAATCTGACTTAGGTCCCTTGGAAGAGCAGTCAGTGCTTACTCTTGACCACTGAGCTATGCCTCCAGCCCTCACATATTAGTTTTATACAGAATTGTTTTGAACATTTATTGAATTCTTGTGGATGTTATCAGTAGAAAAGATTAATACGATGAAGTTAATTTATTTCAATTGTCTGCTTATATTGTCTTAACATTTCTTTTCTCATCTGCAGCCTGCAGTAGATTACATTTGACCAGGTGAGGGGTCCTTTAATTCATGTGCATCATTTTGGGTTATGATGCTGTTAGTTGTTGTTGTCAGTAGTGGGTCATAGAGTTTTTGCTAATGGGACTCTTTTTTTTTTTAAATTAGCAACAGAATCAGTGGGTGGATCCTCATACATTTGTATAATTAACAAGAGTTTCATTGGGACTGGTAGTACAGACCTGTAGTCTTACGCAGCTGCTCTGGTGGGTAAGGTAAGGAAATCTCAAGTTCAAGGCTTGTCTGAGCTTACACAGACTGAGTTCCAGCCTGGGGAACTTAATAAGACCCTGTTCCAAATTTTAAGGTAAAATATAATGCCTGGGGTGGCCCCAGGTTTGAGCCATAGAACCACAGCAAAAAACAAGAAAAAGATATAAGACCCTTCTTATAGAGCTAAACAATAATTCACATTCACAGTTGCTTTCTGAAAATAGGAGTTAGAGCTATCTCCTGTGGAATAAAGCATTTTTTGTCAGGCCAATAATCTGGTTATACCCTGTGAGCATGTCTTATGTGAGAATATATTGTTTTACTGATGCAGAAAACGATTGAGACCGAGTGTCACAGCAGCAATACTTTAAGACATTACATTTGTATCTGGTTGATCTGCATTCATTTAAAAAGAAATTTTACCTGCTTATTTATGAAAATAGCTTGACAATGGGATTCTTTTACCTAATAAAAGAAACTTCAAGGAATTTAGTTAGGTTTGGTTTACAATTACTTATTTCACAGAAAGTTGCCAACTCCTGTTATATTTGTGACATTGTATGTACTAGATCTAAAGAGAACAAGACAACCTATCTGATGTCCTGTTTTCATAGAATGTAGTTGAGAAAAGAAGACAATTCCAGTGCCTCACAATAATAATCACAACAGTAATCAGAGATGGTGTCATGATTTGAAAGGGAATTAAAACATGAAAGGAGCCAGAGGGAGGAGAGGGGGTGATAGAAATTATAATATACAGAAATTATGAAATTCTCAAAAAAAATAAAAGCATTAAATAAAAATAATTTCTAAAAATAGTATTTAACCTCATACATTTGAATAGAATACTGGGGATGTCCTAAGTAACAAATTAAACTTTTTTTTTTTTTTTTTGGTTTTTCAAGACAGGGTTTCTCTGTAGCTTTGTGCCCTTTCTGGATCTCACTCTGTAGACCAGGCTGGCCTCAGACTCAAAAGATCTGCCTGCCTCTGCCTCCTGAGTGCTGGGATTAAAGGCATGTGCCACCACTGCCTGGCGAGGATTCTTTTTGTTTGTTTGTTTTTTCGAGACAGGGTTTCTCTGTGTAGCTTTGCACCTTTCCTGGACCTCGCTTTGTAGACCAGGCTGGCCTCTAACTCGCAGAAATTCGCCTGGCTCTGCCTCTCGAGTGCTGGGATTAAAGGCGTGTGCCACCACCGCCCAGCAAACTATTTTTTTTATTAAAGGATCAAGCTTGATATGACTAGAGCTGTTTTTGTTGTAATTATCATATTGTCTGCTGATGACTCTGATATGCACCTCAAACTCTACAGGGCAAAAAAGTTCGTCAGCCAAGCAGTGTTATACTGGCCACTGATTGCTGTGGAGCAATCTTTGTACACTGTAAATATGTATTGCTCGTATTGTTAATAAAAAGTCTGTTGGCCAATGACTAGGCAGGGTCTTAGGGGCAGAGAGAATGCTGGGAAGGAGGGCGGAGTCAGGAGTCTCGATGAAAAGTTCATAGATGAGGCAAATGAGCCTTGGGGCAGCACATAGATGAATAGAAATGGGTTAATTTAAATTGTAAGAGCTAGTTAGTAATCAGCCTGAGCTCTGTGTTGGTCATTTGGGGAGTGCAGGCAGGACAGAGCTGGAGGTCTAGATGGAAAACTCCACCTACAACTGATGGCCAAACTTTTCTTCTTTTTAGAGTGGTGTGTGTGTATGTGTGTGCAAATCAGAGGAGAAGCTGTGGGGAGTCCGATCTCCAGATTGGCAGCAAGTACCTTAGCCCTCAGAACCATCTAGCTGACTCTAGACTAGTTTTTAACTGTTTAGCTTCCATCACTTTTGTTTACCATAAATTTCTTCCTTCTAAACATGGAGTGTAGAGACCCACTTGCTACCACCTAGGACATGCGTCTGTCCATAACCTTTTAATAAACAGAATCGTGTGCAATCCTGGATCTACCTGTCTATCTTCTGACTCAACCTTTAGCTGGTTTTCATAGACGAGGACTGAGGTTTTCCATAATGCCTGCTCATCCACTGCCTATTGGAGAGTTGAATTAATGATTAATTTGAGGTTAATTCAGTTTGTAAAAAACAAACAAAAAACCCCACTTGATCTGTTTTCTGGGAAATCAGGATAGGAGGGTTCTGGTGTATTTCTTTGTTATTACAGAACAGTGGTAAGAAGCTCATGTAGTGTGAAAGGAAAGGACGTAGAGGAAGCCTAGTGGCTTGTGACACCTACTGAGGGCCTAGTTAATGAGAGGTGTCACGTTCTGCAGCATGGTGTTTCCCAGTGCACTCGGGTCACCTGGAGAGCTTGTTGAAAGCTGGTTTTGATGACTCTCAACCTTCTGTTCTTTAAACTGATACACGTCTTGTAGATTGCTACCAGAATTAAAATAGTATCTACATAAAGCATTTAGCGTAAAGCCTGGAATGGACTCTTAACAAAATAAGCTTTTGAAATGATTAATCCTACCAGATAACTCTTTTAGCCAATTGTGGATATATTTTGCAAATAACCCACTCTAGTTCATGG